CCCCAAAACCCCAAAACCCCAAAACCCCAAAACCCCAAGATAATTTTTTAAATTGATTATTTTATAAGAAACTTTTAGTCATGGATGTACATGAAACATACCAGCTCCTCAATGTAGGAGGAAAGAGATATAGATCGAAGTAATTATATAAACATTGTTTTTTGTTTTTACGGATACTTAAAAGCTTAAAACTCCATTATGTTCCTGGGATTTTTACATTGTAGAGTTAAAATCTATATTTATTTCAAATAAAACTTTATGCTATAAATTAGAAGAAATTATCTTGAGATAAATCAATCAAGGTAATTTGAACATTTGAAGGTTTTATATAAGAGTGGTCATAAACTTTATAAACAAATATTTTAGAAGCAAAAGCAGAGGAAGAATAAAATCAATAGAAGTCTCTGATCCCAAAAATTTACCAACAAGAAACATCAGGTATTTAATAACTCCTAAAAATAGCGACAATAATCTCTTCAAACACCAATTCAAATCATCTCACCTCAAAAACCCTTCCCAAGACACCTCAAACCCTCTCCCCAATCTAAAATAGCTCTTTCACCAAAGAAATGAGCATCTCCTCCTTAAGAAAGTAACCCTCCCACAACCCTCTAGGTCCCCCTTCATCACTAATTTCCACTCTCGTCAGTCACATCAGCCACAAAACTCCCAAAATTCCTTAAGATCAGTAGCAAAACTCAACCTAAAGCTGCCTACAAAACTCACTTCGAAAGCTACCTCAAGAGCAGGTGCGAAAGCACCTGCTCCAGAAGCTGCTCTTGATCGTGGTCTTATCAGCTCGCTTTCAGTCGAGGACTTTGTACTGGAAGCCAAGGCTTCGCAGTACCTGACTGATGTCAGAGCTTATAAGAATAAGAACTATAGAAGCTTAAGTAAGCAAGGGCTTGGGGCTTTGAGGTTTGGGATTAAGGGTGATATGGTTTAGGGAGTAAGAAAGGAACGAAGTTGAGTGTCAATGCGACTACAGAGGATGTGTATAGGGATGTAATGGTGAATAGGAGTAGTAGCAGGAAATAAAAGGGTGACTAGTTTGAAGAGGAATTTTGATACACAGGAGAAAGGAACTTTTGAGATTGAGAACTTAGGAACGCCAGCTAGTCGTCCTGATGCAGCAAATCTTTTAAAATGGATGAATGAAGAGATTGATAAAGTCAAGAAAGATATGGAAAAGACAAAATCGGAGAAATTAATCGCATGCCAGGCTATTTACAATCTCGTAATCTTCATTTAACTTTTTAGGCTTGGAAAGAGCTCACAAGACAAGTCAGTGTTCAATGTGTGGAAAGAGGAATTTTAATGGATAAAATTTTCAAAGCTTATTTTGATTTAATCAATAAAGTTTACAAAAATCTTGAGGGCCAGCAGAATGAAACTGAAAAGACATCTGAAATGAGAATGTCTCATATGAAGAAAGCACTTCAACACAAAATTGATACTCAAGAGGAGGAATACAATAAATTATTTACAAATAAGGGATCTCTGGAAGAGAAACTTAGAGATCTCGAAGGGCAATTTAAACAGCTTAAAGAAAAATAACGCTAAAATATCCCATGATAATTACAGAATGAAGTTTATAATCGCTGATAATCATCAGAAATTTGAAGCCATGAAATCAGATGTAGAATATTATAAGTTCAGAGTTAAGGAAATGTCTGAAGTCTCTGAAGAAGAGGAAGATGCTATAAAGAAGATCTTGCACAAAAATAGGCCTACCCAAAAATACACTGATTGCCATGATATTGAAAAATATATTGAAGGAGATCAAATCTCTGAATATGATGAAGAAAAGAAAGAGCTGAATGAGAAAGAAGAAAAATAAGGAAAAAGAGCTAATAAAACAAAATAAACAAAAATTTCCGAAAACAGTCAACACACAGACAGATCCTCCTCCCACAAATAACTTTGGCGTTCAGATTAAGGATGGACAGGAAATGCTGAACAAAATTGATATTAGAGTTCGATCCGCAAAAGATCCTCCAAAAGATACTTCTAAAACTCCAATCCCTGATTCTGATGAAAAACTTCCTCTTAAGAGGTCTCAGAGCTGATCTATTGCTGGTGTATTTAGCACTAAAGCAGGTAATTTTGTTTTTCATAAAGGTTGTAGAGATAAGAACTGACAAAGAATACCAGAAATTTTTATCCAACACAGATCTCCATAAGATCAAGACTATCGACAAAAGACTTCACTCTAAAATTCTAGAACAAATGGCGATCAACCAAGACAACTTTGAGTATCTAAAATCTAACCTTCTCCTCAAAATCTCAAGTAAGCCTGTTCCCACTGCTAATGCCTCCTAACCTCCATTCTCTAGCTGAAAAAGCTCTTAGCCAAAAACTGTCTCAAACACTTAAATAAACTCCAATCAGTGGAATCCCAAAACACAGACATTCACGACCAAATCTCCCAATTAGCCAAAGACAAAGAAATGCTGCATGAAGAAAACTGTCATTTAAGAGATATGGTCCGCACAATGAAGGAAAACGGATGTCTCCTCCAAGCAGAAGCTGATGAAGACTGTGAAGGTAAGCCAACAGTGGGATCTATAGAGGATTATGTGATGAAGGATGGAGTCAGGGTGAAGAAGCATCAAGCACATTTGGTAGTAGATAAGATTAAGAAGAAGAGAACTGGATCGATAAAGATGTCAAAAGCTAGTGTGCTGAAGACTATAGCCAGGTTTGATGATGCGTTTAGGCTGCATAAGGATTCTGAGAGGAAGGTACTAGCAGAAATTATTTATGAAGATTTTCAACAGCATTATGGGTTATCCTCTGCGACGATAAAATAGCGTAGCGGAACTAAAGTTCAAACGTTTTTTGAAAGCGATACGAGCGTATAGTACATCCAAGCCTCTTTTCCTTTCTTCCCAAGCTACAGAAACTGCTAGGTCTGTTTCTAAAAATCCAAATTTCTGTATTCAAGATTTTGCTCAAGCCATTGGTCTAAGTGAGGATGTGAAAAAGAAGGGAGAAAAGCAATCAAAAGAAGAATTTAAACAACAAACTGAGGAGGAGGGAATCATAGAGTAGAAGAATTTAAAAATTCAGTGAGGAAGGTTGTAGGGGTTTTGGGGTTTTGGGGTTTTGGGGTTTTGGGG